GAGTGTGCCAGCTAATGCAAATTGTTGGGTATTGCCATGTCTATGTCTCTGCATTCCTGACTTTGAGTGGTGCATAGCACCTTATCTCCCCGCTACTGGGCACATGACACCAGTTCGTCACTAGCCGACACCATATGCATTTCGATGAAATGAAACCTTGTACCCCTGAGTGTTCCTGATAGTTGGCAGTTCAGATCAGGACAGCACAGGGCCAAAATTACTTCCAGACAGACAGACTATTTATACCATAAGCTACTTCCCTCCTTATCACATGACAGTATTTAAGAAATTACAAACATACATACAGTTTAAAATCTGGACATACAGTACTCTGGGAATGCATGTGTCCTATTTTACAGTGTTTTGGGGATTTTTGCACTTAGAAGAGCAAATGCAATGGTCATTCATTAAGATTAATATGATTTTGACATTCTAAGTTCCCTTAAACCTAAACAGTTAAAATACAAATTAATATATTAAAAATTAAATAGTATAATAGATGCATAATAATAAATAATTACAAAAAAATACAAACCAAGTTTTCAGGAACAGGTTATCAGGTTTCAATTTAAATCAGTAGAGAACAGCTAGAATCTCAGCAACTGAAATGTATTTTATCCTTTCTGAATTCATTTCTAAAAGCAATTCACTAGTTCAGGGTCCTTATTCATCAACTGACAACAAAAGCAAGAATGAAAAGGTCAAGAAATGCAAATAGAAACATCTAAAAATAAAGATCTGGCCCAGATATAACAAAGCGTCATCCGCTCATGGTCACAGGCGTTCCCATTTTACTGCAACCTGATGTTCTAAACTTAAAATATGGCAAAACATGTTTACTGTCTTACACCTACTATACCAACCTCAAGTATGATTTACGCCATAATTATAACCTTAATATTCTTTCCTACAACCGCTCTTACATCACTCTTTTATTGACAAAAATATATCCATCAGTCACCACCTCTGTCTGAAGGCTCCACTCCAGTTTTATGACCTAGAACACTATGTGAATAGCCAGCAGGCAGGAATAGAAAAGTGTGAACAGGTCTGGCTGGTCTGCTGAGTTCCTGCTGTCTGAGACCAAACTGTGAACAACTACAACAAAGCTTTCAGGAAACTTACACCTCTGAAACATTCAGCTGTGTGCACAAGTGACTACTGTATGTAAGCCATGTGTATGGGCTTGTGTGCATACTATAGCGTATACTGTAGACTATTTTTAAACAACTCTCCAATTCATAAACATCTGCAGTTCCTAAGGTACATCTTTGAGTTTAAAGGGAAGCTGCATTAGGAAGCTGGATTTAATGAAGCCAGCTATGAACATATGCCTGAGTGAAAATCTCAGAATTGGAGAGTGCTCCGGTAATTGCATTGGAGAGATGCTCTTTTACCACATGCTATCTTAGTTCCTGCAGGTGTCAAGCAAGGCAGCCTTAAATTGCTCACATTCCTATTCAAAATGAATTTTCTTTCAATAACAAGCAGAGCCAAAAAAGTTCATTGAATGTGAAGCAGAAAAACAGTGTCAACCTCAAAACTTAGTGCAATAAAGTTATCCTAATAGATCTGTTCATCTTTACAGATATGACTCATAAAAAGAAAGTTAGTTTAATGTGGGAGTTTTATTCCCCAGCATGCTCCCTGGTGTTTCAAACTGATGTTTAATGATAGGAACCAGCCTCTGGCTATTCTGTTTGCTGCACTCATTATTATTGACATGGTACAATCATATAGTAATGAGATACAGGTGAAAACAAGACACACACAAAGGGAACAGTGAGAGTTAAAATG